TGATTGCTTAATTTGAATCTGTTAATTCGTCTTTAAAAAATGGTGATGAAAATAGAGTTTTTTTTTATTCAAACATTTTATTTCTATTAATAATTCCATTTGTACTTCCTGTTTTATATAATGTGTGTATTACACAAGACATAAGAAAATTATGTTTTCATTTTTTAATAAGTCTGATCAACCCATGATAATTTACTAAAATTCATTTGAGATTGAACTGAAGAATAAATCATCTCCACGTTTTTTGCTTAAAATATGAATTTTTATAACAAAGGCCGTATTTATTTTAGTAAATTATAGACTTAATAATTTCATTTCAAATGTCTATCCCCAATAATATCTAAATATTTGATGTGATTTCTAAAAATGAAGAGTTACCAAATTATTGAAAATGTGACAGTTCCTACCTGACCATATTTCTAAACATAACAGATGTAATATGGTCTGTAAATATGTTTAATGTTTGTTCCTCTACATAATCCAATACGTCAGTTTTGCCAGTTTCCTTATAGCTCAGTGATTTTTTCAAAATACTGATCATCCTCAGGACTGCATGGTTGGAATATGAAATACAATATTTTTCGCATTTCAGATCAATATTTCGACGGTGGCCTTTGCAAGCCCTGCCATTCAACCTGTGATTCTTGTGATGGTCCCACAGAAAAAGCCTGCATTTCTTGTGCTAGTCCTCTCATCCTGCAGGGCACTCGTTGCGTTGGAAGGTGCGATAGGGGATTTTATAATGAAAGAGATAGCCAGTTGTGCAAACCGTGTCTTCATACTTGTTCAAAGTGTCTGGCAAAGACCAACTGCACTGAGTGCCAGAGTGGACTTCAGGTAACCTCTTATAATAATTATTATCGGATTAGCATGACTTTGATTGACTGAAAATCAAAATAATTTACTGTGAACTCTTCATTAATTGAAATCATGTACTTTTTTTCAAGCTACAAAGTGGTGAATGTCGAACTACATGTGCAACAGGATATTATAGTGACAAGGGCACTTGTTTGAGATGTTACATGAGCTGCAAGACTTGCAGTGGTCCCAGCCAAGAACAATGTGTCACTTGCCCAAATGGGTGGCAACTCGTTTCAGGAGAATGTCGTCCTGGTTGTCCTGAAGATTATTATAAGACGGAGTATGGATGCCAGAAATGTCATCAGTCTTGCAGGAATTGTGGAGGTGAGTTCAACCAATTGCCAATACACTTATGTGGAAAGTGAAAGTGATTAATGATGGAAAGTAATATATCTAAATACTCTTCACTGAAAAATCAAATAGTAATTTCACATAATTTTTTCCAGAGTTGTTGAAAACTCTCTTCATAAACTGTATATAGATGTGTAAATTTGATGTGTAACCGAGTAAACAGGGCAAAAATATCCGGTCTCAAACCACAATTTTGCAGTTGCTGAGACTANAAACAGGATACTAAAAATGCAAAAGACAAAAAATGCTACTTTCAACCCCGGTCTCCCCTACACGCAATATGATTTTTTAGTATTTAGAAACGGAATTAAAAAAAAACTTCAATTTGAAAATGAGTGGGATGGAATAAATAAGCTTACTGAAAAAATTCCAAATATCATGAAGGAAGTTGATTCCTCATTGAAATATATTCCCTAACCCCCATTCATACACTACTGACTTCGTATTGATAACTATGCTCATAAAATTGACTTTATATTACTTAATTTAACCTTATATAATGTTCAATGCATATTACCTTTATTTGCAATCATTTTAACTGAAAATACAAGTTCTGGCAGAAACTCATTGTAGATTAAAAAGTAAATCTTTTCGGCCATTTGGGGCCTTCAGGTAAATTCAATAAAGCTTATGGTAAAGACGGAACTGAATAAGTGCAGATATATTAAATTCACTTATTGTTACTTTCAAGTTATAATCCTTACATGAATTTTTATTCTTTTCAAACATTATCGATAATTATTTTTACAGGGTGCAAAGTGCAAGAAGACAAAAGAAAAATAAACGTCGAAGCTCTCTTATTATCCTCACAGCCAGTGTCAACGCTGCAAATTATAAATCCATTCAATGTCATCACTGGAGTGGTGGTAATAGCTTGTTTGTGTGTCATCATTTTATTCGTCATAATTTTTATAATTTTACAGGTGAGAAAACACAATTTTGTAGATAAGTAATATAATAAAATGAAAAATGTATATTTTAATTCTTTTGTTACATAACTTCTTAGCCATATAACCAGGCATCAAAAAATAATTTTCAATAGGAAAATCTAATGAGATTATTTCCAAAGCTTGCTCTAATTCCACAGTGTATATACATTTTTTCAACTTCAACTGAATATTGTTCAGTAGTTCATGCTTGTCTGGTTTTTCTCAAATATTTCTCAATGAGTAATTTCATAAGAAGTGCTGATTTTCAGAAGTCCTTCAAAATGACCAAATTTTGAATATCGCCAACTGTTTTAGAGATATTTATTGAAATACTGTTTGGTAATTGGGAGAAGTGCTTGTTTTGGAATAATAGTAATATTTCATTCACAATATTTCTTAAAGAAACAAATTCAAAGTAAACAATATGTGAATTATTTAAGCCTACATAGTCTGCATTCTTGGAATCATAGTAAAACTCTTCAAATTGAAGTGGTTTAAATTCAACTGATAGTTCCAATTCGGCAGTAATAACTTTATGATGAAAATTATTAGGTGATAGTAGATCAGTTGCCTCCTCAATGTGAACAAAATCATTTTGTGAAAAAGCTAGATCTAGATAAACATTGTGATTATTAGGAATGAAATTGAGTTGTTTGAAATTGAGAAAAGAAAAATGATCACATATAACATGGGCTGGATATCCTTGAAGGCAATGAACGCTAAGCCCATGCTCTTCTGAAGATTCCCACGTAGCCAATGATAAATTTTAATCACCAAAGAGATTACATTGATATGCCCCGAATTTCTCAGATATTTGTTCGACAGAATTACAATGATCTCTTTATAAATATCGGAATTTGAACCCAGCAGTATGTAGGTAGCTCCAAAAATCACATTTGCACTTGTGTTTTTCAAAAGAATGAATAAATGCTCGACATTTGAACTAACTCCATCCAGTATTTTTACATATAGCTCTTTATTGACACACATTATCACACCACCACCTCGAGCCTTTTTACTTGTGTTTGCGTTTCGATCAATTCTAAAAATATTATAGTTTATTGAAATAATTTTTGCATCATAGTAGGAGCTCGTTAGTTAGCCATGTTTCAGTTAATAACATCATAATTGCAACACAGGACAGAGTTTTTAAATTCACCAAGTCTAGTTCTTAAACCACCAACATTTTGATAATATATCTTAGTTTTTTGATTCTTCAATTTGATTCTTTAATGTGAAATTTCCACTTCTAAGTTTGAAAAAAAACATTTTTGGGCGCTATTGTATAGTGAAACACGAGTTTTTGGAAATTATATTTTTATTGTTATTCAAAAATATTTGAATCTACAAGTAATTCCATTTTATTCTAATATAACATTTGGCAGGAATAACTTTACTAATATTTAACTTATTTTTTCAGAAAAATACTATTCAATCACAGCAAGGACGATATAGTAAAGTATCAATCAAGAAACCGAAGGTAACATGTAATTACAACGTTGTGTCTGTAAGTGATGGAGATTCCAGCGACTCTGATAACTCTGAAGGCAACAAATTAATCAATCCTAAACCTCAAAGGACTGCATGTTGAGACAATGAGAAGCTAGATTTAAATTGTATCTCTAGTGTAAATATTTTATAAACAAAACACTGTCTTCATTGTTTTCGTTTCACACCAAAGTTGAGCAAAAATGCAGAGGAAGTCACATAATTAGTTCACTAAATAAATACTAGTATTTATTGATGATGATCTCGATTGACTTTTTCTCATATAGTTGCAATAACTATAAAACATAAGGTTGAAAAGGCAGAGATCACATATCTTCTTTTACCTAGTAACATTGGATGAATTTAGACAGAGTTATAGAGTGAAAGATATGAATCTGATTTGAAAAATATATTTTTTATTCAGCATATTCTTATAATCTAACATTTGTTTTTATAATCGATTTTAAACTAGTCGAACTAGAATAATTATTTTTATTTTTTTTATTAACTAAATTACTGAAGCGTTCAAGTTATGTGTTTTCCCCTGTAGCTTGACAAGTCATATAATTATATGTAAAATAAATGTGTGTATTACCCCACAAATAAGTATATATTGTGAACAACATGAGTTTACCATATTGTACCAAAATTATGAGTGTTTTTCCTAAAGCTACTGTAAGGTAATGAAGACAGCTCAATGTAAAAAATAATAAATTATAAGATGCGAAACTTAAGTGCTCTTGATATTTCATGTCGTAAGTATAGTTATTTTTAAATGTACACTTTGTATATAATCAAAATAGGTAATTGTTTGAATGTTATTTAACAAATTTTACCATTTATACATCCAGAGTTTATATTGTGTAATTTTTGGTGATATAAGTGGTCCAAACTATTCGGTTCATTTTGAATATATTTGATTTCGCATGTCTTCTTTGTCGCAATTGTGTCAAAATTCATAAATATCTCTAGAAGCATATGAACAATATCCATTTGATTCTTTCAGAGATCATCAAAAATTCCTAACAAATTTTTTTATTCCTGCTTATAGTGAATATGCAAACAAACTGTAGATTAAATCCAACTTCCTCAAACATCGCACATGAAATTGAGTCTCCTGTTCAATTCTTGTTGAAAGACATATGAAAAACAATTGATGTTGCTGAAAATGAACAAATTTTATTGAAAAATTTCCTTCTTGTAATTAAATATTTTTGTGGTCAGACAAAACGGTAAGTTTGTTTATTTCCACCTAACAATTGGTATACTTAGATATTTGGTAAGACTACAAGTTTCAATAGTAAAATTAGTTTTTTTAAATTTTTCTCAACAAACGAAAGAAGAGATGTAAGATAGTTGATATTTTGGTTGTCTTTTAATCTTTAGTAAAGTTATCAGTTTTTATTCAAAAGGAAAACAAGTTCAACTGAAAAATTATAAACAAAACTACCGAGTTTTCTTGAATTACCACAAATTTTAAATATTTTTATACTTGTGTTTAGGATACGAACAAATATAAAAGTACATCAACTTTCAATGAACTAGTTTGTATCCCAGCCTCGAACCAAAAAGTGTTTATTTAGATTTTATAAAGGTTTACTTTTCATATGTTCTAATTGAAATTGAGTTAGAAAATTTTTAAATAAATTCATTTTAAATGTGCTTTTGACTTTTATTTTCCTGGTAATTTTCAAAGAAATTCTGTTGGTATATTATATACCTCCATGATGACAAATCTGTCATCAATAAAATGTTATTTTCATTCTGCCTGATTGCTATTTGTTGTTATATTCTTTATATTTTTGGGTTTTCACCCTTAAAATCACAAATATTTTTAAAAGAATCAAATAAAGAGGGCAAATTACTGAAGTGACCCCCAAAACTGTTATTGCGACTATCTGTTAAAATCTGTTTTTCCGTTAACCAGCTGTAGCCCCTCTACGAACGACAACTCTCAAAAGTTGAAACTCGTGCGAGCTGAGGACTGACGAGGTCTTACCTTCAAACATGTGATTCCTAACATGGGCTGGACGATAGCAAGTGAAAATCGATCGTCCGGCCTCGCGGCTTGAACCACCCGTTTACACAACGGTAGATTGAGTGAGTGGAGCAAAGCACACACATCAACACTACTTTATGATGAAACTACATTTGTAGCAGGTCGATTTCTGTACTGGAATATGATTACAAAAACTGCAATTTGCAGATCAGATTCAAAATTCATATAATACAGAATACAATTAAAAAACAATTGTGTGCTATGATCACATCATGAAAATATTGACTTTGCGTTATTCCAAATATGGGCGACATACGACAGAAGGTCGCCTGTTGATCTTATTTTCCGAAAGCCATATTGATAATCGCTCAAGATGTTGAAGCCTTCCAAATATTTGAGGATATGGTGGTTGACGACTTTCTCCACGATTTTAGATATCACTGATAGCAAAGTGACTGGTCCATAGTTATTTATTTGGATGAGTTACTTGCCGTTTTTGGGAATAGGCTGAACGCGAGCAATCTTCCAATAAGAAGTAAAAACCCCTTTCTTATAAGACAGGTTGAAAAGTCTGCAAAATACTGGTGCAAGTTCATTTGCACACTGATATTGAGCTGTTGAAACACAGATAATCTTAGTTTGGGAGGTCTTATTTTCCCAGAAGACCTTGTGGCACGGTTATAAAATGCACTATTGGTTGAAAAGTTTATTATTTTCTTGTCGATATCTACGGCGGTTCGATAAATACAAATACAGATTAAGGGTAATATCCTGTATTTTATGAACAACGTCTGACAATGAGCGCAATAGTTTGCACCACAAAAGATAGCAGAACAGAAGGGCTGAGAATATTTTTCAGTTGGAATCAATGTTAAAATATGTGTGTAGATCATGCAAAGAAGTAACTTTTAGACACAAACTGGAAGAAAAAGCCCTTCTGAAACAGCTACTTTCATATAAACATTGAATCAAACGAAAGAAAAAATTCTTTAGAAACAAATGCTTTTATATGAACACTGAATTATACAGAATTAGAATAATATTCTACACTCAGTTTGTATTCCAAACATTCGTTATGGGATGAAGTCAAGTATCTACACTAAATGAATAGTAAAAAATTGCACTTACATGGAACACTGTTATCCTCACTGGTAGACATCGATGTTTTGCCGTTAGACACTTGTCTCAGGACTCTTCAGTACCAATCTGGATAATATTATACGAAAAAACACACAATTCATTCATGAATTACGAAAGTAACTCTATACATGGATGTGTAGATCATGGTAAAAAAAAAGTTATTGGGTTTCATATCGATCTAACTTGAGGTGATTCGTAGTAAACCTAGTATTTGCTTCAGCTTCAAATAGTTCACTGAGCTGACTGAGAACTTTTATTTTATCAAGATACATTTAATACATTTGTTAGGGGAGACAAAGTGGAAGAAATCATTGAGATGAACCATTAATAGAAGTAGGCCCAGCATGCTACCCCGGGAAACTCAATTACTTATGGAAGATTGATGATAAATTATTAATGAACACAGTCTGATACCTATTGTGTAGGTACAATTCAATTAATTTTAGAGGTATTCCCCGGATCCCATAAAAGTTCAATTTATCGAAAAGTTTTTTGTGAGACACACTATCAAAAGCTTTTGAAAGGTCACACAGAGTAATTTCTGTGTGTTGTCCCTTTCTAACATTTGGGATTGCCTATACTGTAAACAGTCGACTCGGACCTAATTGACCTACAGAAGTATATTTTGTTTATTAAAAAAATAATGCGTTATTTCACAATTATTTAAAAGACTCTTTAAAGTATTGATGATGGAAATGAGTCTGTAGTCATTTGCGTGATCAGGGTTCCCATTCTTAAAAATTGTAATTACTTTATTAGATTCAGGTTCTCAGGAAAAACACCTTGGATAAAGCAATAGTTTATTGAAACGACCAACGTTTCAATTAGTATTGCCAGTTTTCATTTGATTACTTTGCTATTCAGACCACGTGAATCAAAACAGGCAGAATTATTCAATTTTTTCAAGGCAGCTATAACTTCAGCTAATGACATCGGTGCTAGAAAAAATGAATTGGTTGTTTAGGCAAGTCAGCAAAAAAAAAACATTGACGGTTGGTTGGCAAGGAGTAAAGTCTTGATGATATTTTCAGAAACCCTTAAAAAAAGTTATTAATGAGTAGTCAGGCGGTTCGACGTGGGTGCTTTGTTCACTCACTCGAATTGACTGTCGTGTTCACTTGCTATCGTCCAACCCGTGTTAGGAATCACACGTTAAAAGGTAAGACCTCGTTAATCCTTAGCTCGCACAAGTTTACTGGTTAACGGAAAAACAGATTTTATACAAATTTTTAAACATATTTGATTTTTGTTTGTTTTTCCTATAGTTAATCAATCTCCAGCTGTCTAATCGAATCGAATCAAATATACTTCATTGACAGAAAAAAAATACATCTTATAGACAAAGTCTTATAAT